ACCAGATCGCGCCACCTACCTGTGTAGAGAGCCTGTGAGCCAAGAATGGCTTAGAGTTTTTCATGGTTGGGGGGAGTCATAAGAAGAATGAATATTCACAACAAGTGAAAATGACGCACAATTCAAACTGCAGTGCCCACGAGTGAAGGTTTGTTGGGACGAAGCCGAGCCCATTCCTTCCCAGGCGGCTTGTACAACAGCCATGGGACTCACAGGAGTCTGCCATCTGGCCCGCCCAGACGGTCGGCAACGCCTAGGACAGGTGAGACAGGACTGGGGCCGCAGAAAGTTAAATGACAATGACAGTGTAATGATGAGCCGGAGGCAGAACCCACATCCCCATGACTGCCCCTGAGCCCTCCCACTGGCTGGTCAGGGCAGGCTCCCTGGAGGAGGAGGACCTGAGATGGACCCAGGCTGCGTGGCTCCCCCGGGTGTGCTCCCCCGGTGGTGGGCCCTGTGAGGAGACATGTGGAAGAAGCACAGGCCTGCCCAGGACAGGAAGTCAGCTGTTTCCTGGAGCCCAAGCCCAGAGTGGAAGGGTCGGCAGGAGGGCTGAGCATGTACCTGAGAGAGAGGGAGAAGCAGGGGGCACCAGACAGACGGAAAGATAATGGAGAACCAGCCGCGTCACATGGAGCCATTGAGAGCTGTGTCCCGTGTCCCGGCCATGAAGCCACGCCGCGGTGTGCCCTTCCTCAGCCCACGGAGGCGGGCGGCTGGCGGGCCCTGGCGGACCCTCTGGCACACACGGGATCCCGGCAGCTGAGTCTGTTGGGAGATGCGTGGCCCCTGCCCCCTTCGGGGATGAGACGCCCCTTTCGCTGTGGGAGTATGGATGTGGAGTGAAGGGAGCTCCTGTTTGCTGTTGGTTTCCCCTGAAATTCTCTTTCCTCTTTATTTAAGAAGAGAAAAACGCCCCATAGTGTCATAAAAGCAATTGTGAGTATTTAAGAAGAACTACAATCCTTCCTCGCTCAACTGCCATGTGAGAGGGAAGCTGTCAGGCCTCACTTCCCCAGCCGAGCGAGGCTGGCACTGCCTCCTCCTGCAGGCGCAGGCCCCCTGGGCTGCCTATAAATAGCCAGCTGCTTTCTCGGGTTCGGAGTACGCGCGCGCGCGCGCGCGCGCACACACACACACACACACACACACACACGGGACGCACGGCACGCCTCCCCGTACACCCCCCCACACGCGCGCAAACACACACACACACACACACACACACACACAGCTGCATCCCGCAGCCCCAGGCTGTGACTCCCCCTCCAACCACAGCCTGGCCCCCAAATGGAAAGCTCAGCCCAGGGAGCCCCCAGGGGACCCCGGAGCCTGATCAGAAAGCCCCGGGAGTTTGTACAACACAGATTGCTACAGACAAACTTGATTGCTTTTTTGATTAGTGGGTAAAGGGAATGGATTTGATACGCTGCCGCGAGAAATAGTGCGCAATTAATCCCCGGTTGGCGCGGTGATGACATTGTCATACGGGCTGGGAACGGCCGGAAGGCAGCCAAGTGAGGACGATGCTGACAGAGGGCGCCTGGGATCAGGGCAGGTCCTGGCCGTGGCTGGGAGTGGCGTGGTGAACGAGGGGGGAGAGGGCCAGGGGCGGGGGCACCCAGCAAGGCCGTGCCCTCCAAGCATTGCCAAGTCGATGCCCCCTGCTCTGTCCACCGGAAAGGCTGGGCTCGGCATTGCCTGGGTGGACGCCCACTGCCCACGATGCCCAGATGGTTCCAGCCCAGACCGAGCCCAGGTCTCTGCCATTTCCTGCATTCTGTGTGTCTCCCCTTGGGTATCTCCCGAGCCCCTCAAAGTCACCAGGTGAATATCTGGTCAGCCCCTCCCCTCCAGCCTGCTGCATCCCCCGCCCCCCACCCGGCTTCCTGCCCCAGTGAATGGCACCCCCTGGCCACAGGGTTGCCACAGGAGCTCTGAATCCCACATCAGATCCTGGCATCTTTCACTCCCCGCTGCCCCAGGTGAGGCCCAGCTCCTTGCTGTGGCTCCCTGGCCTTTTGTGATCTGACAGCCTTGACCCCCTGCCTGGCCTTCACCCCTCCCCCTCCCTTAGCCCCTCCCCCATTCACTTCCCACTCCAGTCCACCCAGCGTCCTCATCCTCACCGTAGCTCCTCTGGCCCAGTCTGCAGTCTCACCTCCGGCCCCACCTGCTTTCCTGCCATCCGCCCTTGGTCAACCCTGCTCATCGCTCAGCCCCCCAGCTCCTCTGACCCCTGTCCCAGCTGCTCTCCACCCTCAGCCACCCAGGGGACAGGAGGGGGCAGTGCCCATTTTACAGCCTGGACCCAGGAACCCTGCTGGTGAGCGGAGGTCTCCCACCCCAGACAGGCCCCTCCTCTCCGCACCCCCTCCCTGCTGCCTGCGCTCACCCGCAGACTCCCCGCAAGGACCCTTTGAGCAGCGAAGGCAGAGCCATTTCCCAGGATGCTTTCCTAGGGCGTGACTTCACGGCACCACAAGCAGAACCTATTCCCTGCCTCTTCCCTGTCTCCGGGCCTCCCCTGTGCCAGGCTGTGGAGCCGCGTGTCCTGGGTGAGCCACTGGGGAGAGCTCCCAGCCACCTCCCTCCTGGAGCTTCCAGCCCAGGACACGGCTCACGGCCCACGGCCCACAGCCCACACATGTGCTGAGCAGGGAATAGGGGGGCGGAGTCCTTCGGGGGCTCTGGGGAGCTTTCCCTTCCTCCCTCGATGCCTGTGACAGGGCTGGGGCTCCTGGGGGGGTCCCCTGCTAGCCCAGCTCCCCTCTCCTGTATTCCCAACATTGTGCTTCTCTGCTGTACAGGCCAGAGACGTGGTGGGAGCAACATCTAAAAATAGAGCAGCCGATTCTGCACCAGGCCCGAGGGTGCCTCTGGTTAAAATGCATGAGCCTTGATGTAGAAACAGCAATCTTTCTTTTCAACATCATCTGCCTATCAGATGGTTCTGGGCAGTTCTGGGGCGGGAGGGTGCCCGCGAGAGGGGGCAGGAGCGACTGGGGGGTGGGGAAGGGGAGGGCAGTGTGTGCCCTTTTGGTGCCCTGCACAGAGGGACACACAGTAGGTGCTTGGAAAATTCTGGAGATTCTTTCACTGGAGGTTCAAGGATGCTGCAGCGCAGCGGAAGGCAGCAAGTCTCGGGGGAGATGGTGCCGCAGATCAACCAGGTTCTCCCCAAGTTCAGGACAGCAGTGGGAAGGGGGGGCGCTGCGAACCTTCCAGAGGAAGGAACAGTGGGAAGGAAGGGGGAGCCTTTATCTCCAGGGGACAGGAGAGGCTTCCCTTGGCCATCGGTGTCTCCCATTTGGCTCGTTGCATGAGGACAAGACCTGGAACTGCCCCCGAGACCAGGCAGATTCGGGAGGAGAAGGGCCGGTTCACAGTGAGGCGGCTGCTGGTTCGGTGCAACCAAAGGCTCGCGGAAACAGATCCAAACGCGGACCTCCGTGGGCAGGAAGGAGTGTGTTATCAAAAATTAAAACTAAAAAAAAACAAAAGGCGGGGGAAAAAGTGTACCGAGAAGTCGGGAAAGAATATTGCCTTTTTAATAATAAATACATTCCGTGGGCAAGAATTGCAAGGGAATCGTTTAAATTAATTTCCGCTGTGTTTGTTTGGTGTGTACGGGGCGTACGTCCCAGCTGACAGCGATCTGTGGAAGTGCTAACATATTGGAAATCTGATTTCTTGCAGCCAGAATCCCGTAGTCTAAAGTGATTTCTCTTTCAGCCCTGCTAACCAGACAGGCAGGGCTCAGGCGGCTCCTCGGGGATCAGCTCCCACCTGGGGCTTTGGGGTGTAAAGGTGTCTGGTGGGGGCTCAGCAGACCTGGTGTGGGGTGGAGGGACGAGAGTGAGGCGAAGATGAGCAGTGGGAGGGAGGGCAGCGCTTGCCATCCTTCCCCAGGCGCTGCCTTCTCTTTCTGCACCCCCCCCATCTGGACCATGTGTCAGGGGAACCCCCACTGAGATGGGAGGGGAGCACTCCAGTTGGAACTGGAGGCTGAAGGCGAAGGCAGAATCCCTCCCACTCCCACTCTCAGGGTTCGGTGGCGAGAGGGCCTTGGCTGATGTGTCGTTCCCCACCCCTCTCCCACCTCTGCCAGCGAGCCAGCCCCACGGTGCGCAGTGCTGTGTGCCGTGTGCGGGCATCGCCCCTGAGCACAGCGTGTCAGCATCGACGTTTCAGCAATCACTCCATTCCCGGGTCTGTGTCCCTCCTCACAGCCACCGCACACACAGCCCCTGAACTTGAGTTCCCACCCACCTTATTCCTATATCCCACCTTATATCCAGCCTGGCTATGGCTGTTTCCTAAAACCAAAACCACCTGCAAAAGACGCTGGTTTGTGCTTAGAACAAACGAATCTGTGAATAAGCAAACTGTAAGTCAGAGCCAGAAATCCGGGGTGTAACAGGGGCCTCTCGGGTCTGGAGGTGAGACCTAGGGATGCGGCCTCCCTGCCTCACACCCCTGGGGCTCCTACCAGCCAGGTTGGCCCCGTCCGGTCTGACGCTCCTTGGCCAGGAAAGGTGTGGAGTGTGTGTGTTTGAATCGACTTTGTCACCTTTAGCCCCTCCCCGTCCACCAGGGCGCCTTGACCGAGGCTCTATGAATGAACTCCAGGGTAACCCAAGCCCCTAAAATCATAGGCATAACTCCAAGCCCCTAAAATTATAGGCAAAATTATCCATATGTGCCCTTCCCTGGCCCCTGGCCCCTGGCTTTTCTGGGTTCTCACATGCCTCCATGGCCCAAGAAAAGGTGAGCAGCCCAGCTGCGCATCAGGTCTGCTGGCTGGCACTCCCAGCTGTGCCGCTCAGACCTCCCACCCCTGGCTCTTGGTCCGGGACCCAGAAGCAGAGGCGCCTGCCCTCAGTCCCCCGGGCGCTGGCCCTGTCTGTAGCCCTTTCTCGCTCCTTCTCTGTTGTGCGTCTTCCTCTCTTCCTTCCCTTTTTCCAACTGAATTCTCGTTTTTCCTCTCTCCCTAGTGCTTGTACGGCTGCTATGTCCATTCTTCCATCATCCCCACCTTCCACCGGAGGTGCTACTGGCTCCTTCAGGTAGGTGGCCGGGACTCGGTGCTGCTTCCGTCTCTGGTGCTGGGAAGGGTCTGTGGAGGGACCGAGTGGGGGGCTCCTGCGTGCCGCGGCCCTGGCCAGCTTTCCCAGTGATGTCGGGGTGTGTGCTGAGGCCAGCTGTGCGGCTGGCCGGGTGCCGTGTGGGGTGCCAGGAAACGGAGAGAGCCCAGAGTGGGTAGTCTTCACCTGCCCCTGGGAGTAAGCCTCTGCGGGTGTTTCCGAGTGCCTTGGCTTCCTCTGGATGAGGACAGAAGGACAGAAGGACCGGGGAATGCCCGCCGGCTGTGAGCTGCACCTTCCTTTTATCTTGCGGGTCAGTGGTTGGCATGTGCGGAAAATCGGCTTCTGGGGGCACAGCAGTTGCAGTTGGATTGACTCAGATCGATTGGGAGGTTTGTTGGGAGAGGAGGTGCTCCTGGCTGGGAGTGTGGGGAAGGGGAAGGAGTTCTTTAATCCATTTGTGATGTCTGCCATGTAGCAGGATTAAAGAAGGGGTCCTTGATGCATAGGGTGGCCTGGCTGCCTGATCGCTGTCCATGGTGCTGGTGCACAGCCTGGCTGAGTCCGGCCTGGGTGCCGGCCTCTTCCAATTGGTGATCACAGCTGGTCCTCCTACCTGCTCGAAGCGGCTGCTGTGTGTGGGGGGAGGCCGGAGGGATGCCTTTGGGTCTGGGTCCTCAAAGCTTGGCCTCTGATTTGCAACTGCTGCCAGAACCCACCGTGGGTGGGCCTGGCACCATCACCCAAGCTCTTGCTCCAGGAGTTGCTGGCTCTAGTCTTTCCCGCGTGAGTCCACTGTCTATATCCGCTGTGGTTCAAGTTCACCAACCCCCAGGCCCCAGTGCTCTGGGGGGTCTGCCAGCCCGTGGGGTGTGGCATGTGGTCAGAGAGGACAGCCTCGGAGTGAAGGGGGGGCCCTGGCCCCAGGGCAGGTGGCCTGGAAGGTGTCCCAGGCTCAGAGGCGTCTTGGTGTGGACACCGAGGCTGCCCCGCCTCCAAGCCCTTTTGCCCTCGCCCCAGTTCCCGGAAACAATGGTCTGTGGTGGGACAAGGTCATTAGCGGGTGACGCCGAGGGGCTGATCTGCAGACACGGTTTCCCGACAACCTGCCCTTCGCCAGTCTCCCCGGTCTGTCTCCCTTGGTGGTGGCCCGGGAGCACCTGGCTTTCCAACTGCTCGGACCCGAGTTCCTGTGAGAAGGACCTTCAGTGGTCGTGGGATGATAGTTCCCTGTCTGGTTCGTAGGAATGGGCTCCACCATTTAGCACGTGGCTTTCTCCTGTGCCAGGGGTGGGGGGGACTGGGTTAGAGCCTGCCCGGCCTCCAGGCCACGCTCCGGCTGCAGACCCCTTCCCGGGCCTCCAGCCCCTGGTGGGTCCTGTGTGG